ACTGTGAACTAGGAGTAAATCGTAGAATCATAGAGTGGTTTGGGTTGAAAGAAACCTTAAAGATCATCTGGTTTCAACCTCCTGCCATGCGCAGGGACACTTACCACTAGACCAAGTTGCTCAAAGCCCTGTCCAACCTGGCCTTGAACACTTCCAGGGAGGAGGTTGCCACAACTTCTCTGGGCACCCTGTTCCAGTGTCTTGCCACCCTCACAGTAAAGAATTTCTCCCATTACACCTTGTCCTGTCATTTCACTTTGTGATAAAAGACCCTCCCCTTCTGTCCTGTAGATCCCCTTCAGGTACTGGAAGGTTGCTATGAGGTCTCCCCAGAGCCTTCTCTTCTCCAGGCTGAACAACCCCAACTCTCTCAGCCACTGTTCACAGGGAAATTGTTCCAGGCCCCTGATCATCTTTGTGGCCTCTGGACCCACTCCACCAGCTCCATCTCTTTCTTATACTGGGGGCCCCAAATCCGAACACAGTACTGCAGGTGGGGTCTCAGTAGAGCAGAGAAGAGGGTGAGAATCACCTCCTTCAGCCTGCCAGCCACACTTCCTTTGATGCAACCCAGGATGCACTTGGGTTTCTGGGCTGCAAGCACACTTTGCCTGCTCATGTTCAGTTTTTTATCCACCAGTACCCCCAAGTCCTTCTCTGTAGGACTCCACTCAATCCGCTCGTTGCCCAGCCTGCATTTATGCTTGGGATTGCTCTGACCCATGCATGTCAGGCTTCCTGGTTTTTGTTTGTTCCTGCAGGAATAACAGGAGTCACCTGCAGAAAGGGCTGAATGCCAGCTGGAATCATCCTTGTGAAAGGAATGCACTTCTGATGAAAATCCGTCTGTGCTCAACACAAATTAACGTGCTTTATGCTCAGCTGTAATGCTGCCATAAGATTCCTTGAAGGAGGTTTATAAATCTTCTAAAGCCACCTTTCAGCATTCAATTTCTTATGTAATTAATTTATTCTAGTGTGTGTAAGCATCTGTTATAAGCTTATAGTGGAATCTTATCAAATGAATAGTGGCAGTGCTCAGTTGTTAAAGCCTCAGAGCAACCAAGAAAAAGAGACATTGATGGAGGAATGGTGGGGATGGATGTAGCTGGGAAAAACTGTTGCCGTTGCTAACCACACTGGGTTAAGCTTGGGAGTAGCTTTGTTTGGACTGATAAATAAATACAATAATAATAAATCCTTTCATCTGTGCTTTTCCAAGCACTGAATCAAGATAGGTAAGTTACAATTCCTGTTTTAGAGAGGAATATACCAACCCGAGCCAAGTTATTTGTATGGGACCGAAGTTTCAAAGCAGAAACTCCCCTTCTGCCTCTAAGTAATTTGATCTGGTGTTTGATTAAAAATTATACTGCTTTGATAACAGCAGGTGTATTGTCAGAACACAAAGGTAGCCAGCCTCTCGACAAATAGACCAGGCATCTGAAACCTTAGTTTGCTCTTGTTGGATGAGTGCTCTGCCTGGATGCGAACGCGTGGACATCCTCACGCTGTTTCACCATATGCCTCAGCGCTGGCAGAGCTCTCTTTTGAAGGAGACCTTTCCTGCCCTTGAGAAAGGTTTTGCTTTGTGTTGAGACTTCACTGAACCAGTCGAAAGGGTGGGTGGATGTTGCATGTGCGTGGTACAGTCTCCTAGCAAAAAGATTCTTAACACCCTATTAAGGCCAAAGAGTAATAGACTGAATCAGGTGCTTCCTGTGTTTGGTTACTATTTTTTGTACTGGAGAAGGCTAAGGGAGCTCTAGCTCATCACTAGAGAGTGTGATGTGAGATAAAATGGCACAGTTTCCTTCTTCATATCCTGCCATCATAAAATAGATTGAACCATTGATCCTGGAAACTTGGAGTATGTCAGGGGACTTGTGTAATTCCTATTATCTTTCTGGTTTCTGAATCTGTTGAACAGATGTTTGAATTCGCTGATTTTTATTTGAAGTTCCACTCTGAACACAAATACAAAATGTGGTGTATTTTGAGTGATCTGTTGCATGGTGGCATCCAGGACCCATCATTTATCTGAACCCTCCCTTTTTGGGATGTGTTGTAATCAGAAAAGAACTTACCTTCCTAGTGAACTAATTTATCATTTTTCAGTAAAAAAGAAAAAAAAATCATAAACGTAGATATGTTCAAACATCAAACTAAGCCTTCGCCTATCTGATTTGTTCCAGCTGCTATCTGGGAGCAGGCTGGGGAAACGAGGTGGAAGGAGGTCACACACTGCTCAGAAAGCAGTAGCTTATTCTCAGTGTAGGCTGACAAGTAGCCAGTTTGTGTAATGCTGTTTTTCTCATGACCATTGCTTCGTGTATCTTGGTTTGTGAGGTGAGGAAGCTCTGCTGCCTTCCATAGTCCTAGAGTTTCTCTTCTGGCTGTTCCTGGGTACCTAAGATCTGGGTGGCAAGTGATGTATGCCTGGGGCTTTCTGTAGATGACGAAAAACATATTCAGGAAGTGGTTTTGGATGGCCCAAGGTTTGTGTACATCGTTATTTTGTCAGTGACGCTATTACCCGATAATGATAAAGCTTTTCTAGGAAAGGAAGAGGTTTTGTGTTTCTTTTTCTCTAGCTCTGTAGTAGATAAATTGTGCTATAAATAAACCTAGCCCTTAAGTTCTATTTAAATATATAAAGTAGTTTTATATAAATGTATTGGCAAGAAAAGCTGATCAATATGTGATACTGTTTAATTTTAAACAAAGAAACATTTTTTTGGTTGTTGTTCCTGATGCTCCCACTCAAATGTAGAATCATCCTGTGAAGGGACTTAATGAATATTCTTTCTCATGGAAGTTAATAGGGCAATAAATTCTAGTTAATTGACTATTTCTGTGTTCTGTAGGCTTAAGGGAGTAATCAGTAATGTATCTTCCCATACAGTATGCTTAGTGAGAGAGAAATATTGACAAGAGTAAAGTATCCTCTGTTATGTTTAATATAAAGTACCTATGTAAACTTTTCTTGGTTAAAAGTGAAAGCAAGTAATGTGTAAAATCAAGGATAGGTTTCTTCATTTTCATGTATGAGCTGCAGCTGCAGAGCTACTTTCAGTCTTCCTCCTTGTGTCTAGCTCTTTCTTTTGGGTAATTTTCTTTAATATGTCACTGCATTTAGCAACCTCCTCTCATGATAAAGCATGTCAATCCTAATATTGTTTTTCAGAGAAGAGAGAGCAAGAAACAGGAGGAAGGGCGTTTAGATGACTTGCCTTCTGTGTGGCAGTCACAAATTGGGACATCAAAAAAAGTCTTAGATTTAAAAAGACAATGTGAACACATCGTGGATGATGTGACTGAGCACATCATTGAAGATGATGTCTTTGACTTCGTTGTCTCTGATATGAGCATTTATATTCCTTTAGATGTTTCCTGCTCCATGGGAGCCACAAAGGCTGTGCAGGGTCCTTGTGATGAGACCTGTAACATGGGGCTTCTGTCTTCACTGTGCTGTGTTCATCCACGGTCTGATCTTGGTACCTGGACCTTGAAGGATTTGTTTCTATTCATCTTCTACTCAGCTGAGAGAAGCTTTGCTTACCATTATTAAGAGCCTCTGATAAACAGCAGTATATAATTTCATATTGTCACACTGTCCATAGCTGCTCTTCATGTGACTTTAAAGCATCCCCAGATAATTTTTTTGTAATCTAGATACCTGTAACTTTAATATGTAATCAGAACGCATTACAGGGGACATACTCAAGATGAACCACCATGGCACTGCTGATTCCTGTATGTAGGATTTATTCCTTGGTTACTTTTTTGCTTCTTAGGTTTGTTTTTTCCCGCTAGAAGAAAGTGGAGCAGACACTTTGCATATTTGGAGTCTTTCTTTTCACTCACCCCTCTCTCTTGTGTTCAGGTCAGTGCTCGCTTTTCAAAACGAATCCAGGCAAAAATCAAGGACCTTCTGCAACAAATGGAGGAAGGGCTGAAGACAGCTGATCCACATGACTGCTCTGCCTATACTGGCTGGACTGGTGAGGAAGCTGGAATTTGAATGAAGTGTTGTTTTGTTAAATGATGTGACTGGGTTTATTCACCCCATTGTGACATAGATTTTGAACGGCAGAAGTACTCTTACACAGGTATTTGTGTTAGTTGGTTTCTTTTAATCTCTGGACTCTTAGTCACTGCTGTCTGAAATGACTTCCATTGACTTCAGCAGACAAAGTTACAGAGAGATAATTGACTTTTGTATATGGAGACCTTTGTTTTACACAAGGAGTAGATTTTGCTAAGGCTCTCCTTTTTTTCAACTTCGCTCTTATTTCTTTTTCTTGAAATGAGCTATTTTCACCTTTTTCTGTTCATCTGACTACTAGTTAGCTGTTTTCTATTGGTAGCAACATATTTTAATCGTTGCAGGGGTGGGGGTAGGTGGAGGGAGGTGTTCTGTACCTGGGAGCTTGGAGCCTTTAAACCTGGACTGTGGACAGCTTGGCTGCATTTGTTCTGTCCCTACAGAAATGGTAAAGTGAATGCATGAGGAGGGGGAGTAAGGAGGTGGGGCTGCGAGATTGTGAAATTTGTGAAGAGAAACAGGCACATGCAAGCACTGTTTAATGCTGGGCACCATCATTCATTTAACGTTGCATCACTGGTGCTGTCCCAACATGAATGAGCCCTCCTGATCCTTGGGTGGAGCCTGCAGTTGTCCAGCTCAGTGGGGCCACTGATCTTCAAGCCGTCAAAAAGCTTTTCCAGCTCAGCCTCTTAAGGGCCACTTTGCTATTACGATGACATATAGTCTGGCTCATGTTTCAGGTATACTTTTGCTTTTAGCACAGCGTGTTTGAAATGTGCCCTAAGGAAATCTTTTTTTTCTTTTTTCCTTTTTTTACTTCTTTTATCTTTGTGAGAGGGAGCAGCTTGAAAAAACTTCGCAGGCTTTGCCTGTGCTCAGGCTTAGTTCTGGCAATGAAGGGGTAAAATGCCTTTGCTTTCTTCTTGCTGTTTTGCCACAGATGGTGCTGTGGGTGGATGGGTGGGGAAGTTTTGGACAACTCGGACTTAAATGGTGGATGTGTTTCAAGGTCTGAAAGTGAGTGGCTGCTACCTGAGTGCAGATGATCTCCAGTGGTGGGTTTTCTTGTGCTGACGTTACAAGGTGGCTCCCAGCAAGCTGTGTTTTGACACTGTGACTGACAGCTGAAGTTATGGCTGATAAACCCAAGCATGCTGAAAATGAGTCATGAGCTAAAAGTAACACAGCCATCATTAGCTGAAGCAAGTAGATGAACAAGTGATGCAGTCTGAGAATGGGATTTTTCCATCCTGCAGAAAGATTGTCAACTATGTATATTCCAAGTTGTAAACTTCTTTTCAAGGGTCCTGTGCAAATTACCCTGAATAAAAAATAGTCAAATGAGCTGACTTTTAAAATACTTAGTGCAAAATACCTTCTCCCCCAAAGTTGCTCCTTGGAGCACTTTGCTAGTGTGCAAAGCAGAAGGTAAAAGCAATAACATCTTTAAAATCCCGGAGCATGTATGGTTGGCATGTAACAATCATAGGACGTATGTCAGAGTCCATCTTGCTTATACAAGTACTCTTCATATATGCTGGACATCTTGGAGGAGTCATTTTAAGGGTGTTGCACAAGGAAAGATTGGATGATCTGGGCCGTGTGGCTACTTCTGTGATTGTCCTTTGATTGAGCCCAGATATCTACCTGTTTGTTGCAACATAAAAAAAGAGTTGCAGAAATCCCAGTAAATAGCCCACAAGTTCCCATGCCAGTGAGTTGGGCTAACCAAGCTAAGTTCAAAGCCAGGCTGGAGAATGTCTAAGGGTGCACTGGCACTCTTGTGGTGCTGCTGTTGTACTTCTCAGGTAGCTTCTCCGTGGAGCTGAGCAGGCCTTGTGTGCGCTCTGCTTGAGTTGTGACTCAGGAGAGTGCTTTCCCTGTTCAGAAATGAGCTTGAGATGCAGTAAGGTCTGGAGGAAAATGTTCTGCCTCTGCAGATGTGCGTTTGCAATTGACAAATAAACGTATAGTTAAATGGATTTGTTTCACTTTCTTCAGTCTAATATTATTGCAAATTTTAAGATTTGGTTTTAATGGAAACTGTGTAATGAGTTTGATGATGTGAAGCTTGATATTGCCTTTGGCATTCTCCAAGGACTTGTTTGCTTGCTGACTTTAACAAACCAGCTTAACTTGTAGAAGCTCATAATCTTTTTGTGAAATGCGTGTAAGAGTTATAAAGAGCTTGGCAAGCTGAATCCAAAAACTCATGAAAGTTGCTTTTACAACCAAAGTGGGAAACAAGTCACTTCTTCCTTAGAACAGATCAATACTGCGTGGTCAGTGTATTTGGTCATACACATGCTTGTTAGCCCAAGTTTTCAAATCTTCAGTGATTTCTTCACCAAACTTTGGTGCCTGTGTCATGGATTTTCTTCAGTCTCTGCAAACTCGGAGTCTACTGTTGGACTTCAGTCTGATACTGTTTTTTTAATTATTATTTCTGTCACAATCCAAATTGAATTGCAATCAAAATAGATGGCTTGATTGCACAAGCTAGGAACCTGGCATGTTTTGATTCCCCAAATTAAAATTTTGCATCTGAGTTACTGGTTCAGAGGCACCAAAGAATAGAATATGATAACATTAGAAGGAAAAGTAAATGAGATGATCTTTTGTTCATGTGGTTGTTCCAGGTATTGCCCTCTTATATCTGCAGCTGTACCGCGTCACGAAAAACCAGAGCCATTTGCAGCGATCTCTTGATTATGTGAAGAGAATCCTTCGCAATCTGAATGGCAGAAGAGTTACTTTCCTCTGTGGTGATGCTGGGCCACTGGCAGTGGGTGCTGTGGTTTATCACAAGCTGAAAAATGACAGTGAATCTAAAGAATGTGTTGCAAAGTAAGTGGTTGGTGGTGGAAGAACCCCGCCCTTGATTTGTAGAGAGCCCTGATTTGGTAACGTTAGCAAGTGGAGATTTGGAGGACAGGATTAAAAAATGGAGACTCCTTTTCCCACCAATATGTTTTCAGTAGAAGAATTCAGAACAGGCTTTATCTGTATTAAAACTGGCTTACACTTGAGTCATATGTAGCGGGTTATCTCGAGTCCTCTGTCGCTGTTATGGACAGGATGTCCTGGGTGTATCTGTAGTGCATACACGTTTTGCTTTTGTCACATTGAAGTGACATTTAACAGAAGCTGCATGCTTGTGATAGGCAGTGTGTAGTGCTTGTGCAGTATGTGATGCGTGCTGTAAAGAGTGGGTGTTAACTCTAGATTCATTACAAAACACATACAGTGCAGGGGTCTGGAAACAGCCAGCCAGAACGCAACAAAGATTTCATAAAACAAAGAGGAAATATTTTCTGGACCGTCAAAAGCAACGGCTTTAATTAGGTCAGAGCATATGAAGTACTCTGAAAAAATTTCAGCCCCTCTTCAAAGTAATGTAAATGTGACATATATCTTGAGAAATCCCATTTAGATGTAGAGCTTCCTCAGAGAAGTGGCTCAGAGCTGTTGGCTGTCCCAGCGAGGGCCAGAAGCACGGGAGCCCTATGGGGTTTGCTTTTGGCATTGGCAATCCACCTGCTCATGGTCCAGCAGCATACCTTAGGCTGCCAGAATTTGCAGGCTTAGTCTCACCTCTCCCTGGAAAGTCATTTCTAGGAGGACTGCAAAAAAGGTTAGTTTGATTATCTTCTTCCTTTTTTGTCTACATATATATCCATAACACCAGCTAAGTGGTACACCACAGATGTCAAAATGTAATCTATGATTTTTTTTTCTATTTTTATAGTTTTTACCTTGTAGCTGTCAAGTTGCACAATATGAAAAATAAAACTCAAGAGTGGATAGTGTAAAAGAAAATAATTTAATTCTAGGTCCAAAGCATAGTTACAAAGAAGAAAAAAAGTAATATAAAACTCTTGTAGTTTGTTGGGGGGTTTTGTGTGGCTTTTCCCTGGTATTAAGCAATGCTGTCATAAACAAGCCGTTCGGGTCAGTGTTTTTGCTCCAGCATGATGTCAGTGCTAACATTTCTGCTAAGTAATAGTAGCTGGGGGGATCTGGGAGTTGAATTTAGTCTTAATCCAGATGTTCTTGCCCTCTCCTCCAATTTAAACTGTGATCATCTCCATAGTTACTTCTAATTGCCAATTTAATCACAAAAGATAGAAAGAGACAGGGAGGGACTGGGCAGGAGAACAGATCTCTGCTCCACCTCAGTGCAGATGCAGACTAGTGGAGCGATAGCAGGGAGTCTCTTTTGCGCAAATGAGAGTTGCAGTGGCCAGCCCAAGGCTTTTCCTCCATTGCTAAAGGCAAGCAAAACACGTGCGTAACAGCAGTGCCCGTTTCAATACTGAGCTGCTAAACATGTGAGACAGCATGTTGTCTAGGGAGGGGGAGTGCTGAATGATGGTATTGTTGGGTTGGTTTTTTGTGGTTTTTTTTGTTTGGTTTTGGTTTTTCCCTTTTCCCAAAGGCTCAAGGAGGTTTTCCTATTTCTTGAAGTAGCTCTACAGCCTCCTGAACCCCCACCTGGCACCCATACATTTGTTTCTGTCTGCACAAAGACCTGATAGCTGCACTGATACCTGGCTTTGAGCTGTCTGTGTGTTGGGGGTGGCATGCAGAGCTCCTCCGGGCAAACCCTCTTGGAGGTGACTGAAGGGAGGCAGTGGGGGCTTGACTGATGGTGTGGACAGTATCTAGTCCAGTACAGTCTCTAGAGAAGATGCTCTCTCTCTCTCTCTCTCTCTTCCCACCTTCTTTTTCTGATGCAGGTTGTTGCAGCTCCAAAGGACAGTCATAAGCCCAGATGGTGAGCTTCCAGATGAGCTGCTTTATGGCAGAGCAGGTTACCTGTATGCCTTGCTGTACCTGAATACTGAAATCGGTCCAGACACTGTCCCACAGTCTGTTGTCAAAGAGGTAAGAGGCTTTTTTCTCTCCAGTGCCACAGCATCAGTGAGGTTGAACTGGAATCACTCCTTCACATAATTGAAGGGATTAAGAGAGGGATGCTGGAGAGGAGAGGAGCCTAGAACTGGAAACTCGGTCACATCTGTTCCTCCAATCTCTTCTCCCTTTCCCTGCTGCCCACCAGGAACTGAGTCAGGAAAGTGCGAGTGGGTCCATGGTCAGCCATGGAAATAGTTCCAATATATAACTAGTTTTGGAGCATTTGAGGATAAGAAATTGTTTCAAAAAACCTGAAGGCAGAAGTGTGGAAGTGTTTTAAGTGAAAAGGAGGAGAACTCAGTGTGGGGAAGATGCACAAGTATTCTGCAAATACTAGAACCAGAGAAGGCAGGCCTGGAAAAAAATGATTGGAAATATTTATATGTTAAATTTCCACTCTTACATTAAATTTCTACTCTTAGAAATGTGATTCATCATTTAGGAAAAATTCCATTTCTATCTTAATACTGAAGTTCAAATGAATTGAGTATTGTTATCTTACTGCTATTTATTGTGGCTTATCCTTTATTTGCAAAGCAAAACCCTCTGAGTCAACGCAAGTGAGACAGATAGAACGGATATATTCTCTTTCTTAGGTAATAGATGCTATTATTGAATCGGGGAAAAACTTTTCAAGGGAGGAGCGGAAGACAGACCGTTGTCCTCTGTTGTACCAGTGGCACAGGAAGCAATACGTCGGAGCAGCCCACGGAGTGGCTGGGATCTATTACATGCTCATGCAGGTAAGAGCATCTTTTGTGGGCTGGAGTGAAACACCAGTGATATCTTGTTTTGCATTGGAGGATCTTACTTCCAGCTTTCACGCACATGCACTGTTGTTCTAGGTCAGGGTCTCACAATTTGAAGTTAGGCTCTGCAGCACAGAACTGTGCAGAGGGGCTAGCTCAGGCCCTGGTAGCAGGAGAAAACTGTCTTAGGTATCCTCACACTGGAGTGAATTAACCCTTGAGTTGTTGTTGAGAGCACCAAGATTCCAGGAGTTGAAGTTTCATATCCTCAGCAGAGACAGTGAGGTGCCTTCCCTCATCCTCATACCTACTACTTGTAGTGCCTGCAGCTAGGCCGTCTAAATATTCACTTACCATCCATCACTCTTCACTTCTGTGCTATTTTTAAAAGAATGCACCACTGGTGCCTCATGCCCTCCACACCCTTCCTCTCTTCTCCAGTGACGTTTTTCTTTTCCCCAAAATGTCCTGATGCTTTTGGAAGACTATCCTTAATGACACGTAAGTCTTCAGTATGCTTTTTATTCTTTAGATGTTCTTCCTCTTATTTATTCCTCCAATCTCTCCCCAGAAAATCTGATGTTCCTTAGTGTATTTGGGACCCCTCTTCCCCAGTTTCTGTTGTCCTGAGTGAGATTTATCTCTTCTGTGTATCTCCTTTCCCACACCTAAAACCATTGCCCCCTGCCCTGAGATTTTCCCAATAGAATTATGAAGTTTAAAAAACCCAACAACTGTATATCTTATTTCTGTTGTACAAGCTGGAAAAAGAGCCGTAAGATTCATTATAGAAGGTGGCCATAGAGCTGCAAATTTGGTTGTTCATTTTACTCGTTCTTAAAGGTGCTGCCAGTCTGTGCATCTTTGTAAATGTTAATTTTCTTACCAGCTCATGCAGAATGACTTTCATTCGGGCAACTGGAAGGATTGTACATCCTCACAGCCTGAAGCTGCATACGAACGCTCACTGCAGAAGAGACTGAGCTAGTATTTGGTGTTGTTGCTGTTCAGCCGTTCCTTTTTTGCAAAAGATGCTGTGACTTCTCCCCATCTGTTTCAGATTAGCTCGCACTACTTCCACCAGTAGCTCAGGCTGAAGCACCTGACTCGGCTGTGGAAGTGGCTCCTGCTTTGCTGCCTGGGGCCATATCTTAGCCTTGCACTGGGGGCTCCAGCTGCTCTGATTTAGTGTACCCGTATCTTCACTCCCTGCTTTCTTCAACAAGGTGGTCCACCCCGTGCCAGCTCCTTTGTCTTTCTGGCTTCCATTTTTCCTTTTATGGCTCTGCTAGATTTTCTGAGAAACATCCATTACTTTAAAGAAATCTCTTTGAAGGCTCCATCCTTCATTTACTATTCAAGGCTGATAGCAGAAATAATTGCTGTGCTTTTTGATTTAAACAGAATCTACTCTGTCTACATGTTAAAATCACAACTATCTTCTTCTTTATATATAATTGCTGCTTTTAAGAATTACCACAAAGTCATTGTTTATGCAGCATTAGATTACTGTCTTTTCACTGTACATTAAATATTGTGAGTCATACAGAGTTGAGTCACCCACTGCAGAAGAAGATGGCATGTTGGAGTCCATCCTTTCGCTGTCCCTCCCACTCCAAATGAGGAGAATTTTTCTGTGTTTTCAGCAAAGAATTCAGGAAATGGTTTGTTGAGTGGTTGGTTGATAATAAAAAAAGCGTGTCCAACATAGCACCTGAAATGTGAAGGTCGTTGCTCATCGTTTCTGTACAACACCTTGCACAGCTCAAGACTGAAGGAATTTATTGCTGGTGCCTGTCCTCTTTGCCTTCTGCAAAAAGGGTGCAGTGTAAAATCAGGGTCCCGAAACAAAGGTGCCCCCAGAACTTCCCTACTCCACAGGTCGGTGTCCAAGTGAGGATTGATCAGTTATGGGGTGTTCTTCACAATAAGCTGATCTGTATTCAGGTGTTTTTCTGATAAGCTGCATGACGGTTTCTTTTCCACTCAGAAAAATGCAGAGAAGGAGTTTACTTGAGGAACCCAGCAGGTGGAAGTCTGGCAAAGCTTTCCTGGCTGAAATAGAGGCTTTTGGGTTTTCTTTAGGTTACTGAAAATACAGCTATTGAAATTATTCCTTTATTGGGCCGTAAGACTGTCAATTGTAGCATTGTGCTCACCTGTTGAATGCAAACGTGCTGGAGCTGGTGGGAAACAGTGAAATTGTATGACATTAAGTGAGCAACAAAGACAAGTTATTTAGAAAAAAAAATGAACTCGGTTATTAGGTTCCTGTAGTCTCCAATTTCCGCAGCTTGTAGGAATTCCAGAAATCATGTAGGCTGTGTAAAAATAGAGAGCTCTGTTATAAAAATACTCTAAGATGGGCTAGTAGAGGAAGGAATGCCAACAAGGAACAACTGCAAACACAGCAAATACTTGGCTTCTAAACCTTTGCTTACAAGGAGCATGCAGGTTGATGGATCTATTCTTGTGGCAAGGATGTAAGCTAGATGGAAGAAATGAGAAAGATGAGTTTGTAATAGGAAGATGCTTAGCTACTTAGAGACGTAGCTGTTGCTTCTGAAATTGGAAATGCAGATTTATAGCCCATAGCTTCAGGGAATTTTGTTGATGATGGAAAGCTTTAACCTTCATAAACATTTGCCAGATATGCTACTACATACATGCCTCTTCATTTTTTGGAAAATAGGACAAGTTCTTCTGTGTTAACTACTTTTAAAACAAAACATGTAACCCATTTTGGTTTAAGCATATATTATGAGCAATGTAGCTATAAAACCGTATTTCTCCTTGAAGTGTTTCTCTATTTAAGGTATAAAGAGAGGCCTTGGAATCCGTATTCTTTTCTCGATTCTTCCATAGCCTTTCTGTGTCACCTCCAGTAAGACAAGTAATAACTTGGTGCCCCAATTTCTTCGTCTCTACAGTAGCTGTAAAAATGCTCTTCACAAGGATGTTGCAAGCAGACATTAATTAAACCTGTGTGAAATGATTCAAAGTATTTGGATCAAGGGCACATATGGAGGATGCTTGAAAATAGATCACAGAATTAAGCGTTGATGCACGGATTGTTGCTATTTCTCTTTATGGGTTTGGTGATTTTTTTAAAATACTTTTTTTTAGCCAGTTGCAAATGTGGACCAGGAGACGCTGACAGAGCTGGTGAAGCCAAGCATTGATTATGTGCGTCATAAAAAATTCCGATCTGGGAACTACCCATCATCCCTGAGCAATGAGACTGACAGACTGGTTCACTGGTGCCATGGTGCCCCCGGAGTCATCCACATGCTCATGCAAGCTTATAAGGTGAGTCATTTTGTGTTTGTAGACACTCTCCTTTTACAGAGAAACCAGTATTCAGGCCTGTTAGATTGTAAGGCTCGCGTTTTACGTCTTTCGAGATTTAAACTTTCAAACCAGAACCCTAGAATAGGCGCCTAAAAATCTCAAAGTACATGCATGGATATGTTTGTGAAGAGGAAGTAAGTGGGTAAAATTGCTACTCAGAGTGCTAGCAGTTACTAGACATTAGGCGTTCTTGGAAAAGGGCCATGTATTTAAACAATTTGATTTCGGAGTCTTGGGTGTGAGAACATTGACCTAAATTCTTTGAATCTTCATCCCAAGAGCTTTGAGAATTGTGTTGGTTTTCAAAAGCGTAGATTCATGTGCCTTGCTAAAAAATGCCTTCCATAAATTACTCCATCATTAAGACAGAGCTCTTGAGAACTTAACATCAGACCATAGATCCCAGGCCCCTTCTCAGGCGTAAAAGTAACTGCTGAGCTACCACGAGCCTAATGTTCGGTCTTCTCCATCCTTAACTAGGTTTGCTATCTTTAGTGTTGGGCGCTTCTGATCTGCATGACATTTGAAAGTATGCTATTTAATTAAACTGATGCAAATTGATTCTTGCTTTTGACAGCCCTCCTTGGCAGGTTCCCTGGTCGGCCCCTGGATGGACTGATGAAAAGCAAGCTCGGTTTATGGAACAACTCATGCTGCTACCTGAAATGTGAACTTACTAAATCTCTTAACAGCATGGCTGAATGTTGCAGCACTCACAGTTGCTTTTTCTTTGGACTGTGGTAGGAGGTTGACTTAACACTGCAGACATCTTTTTTTTTTTTTTTTTTTGTATTACTATGGGTTTTTTCCCCCTTCTTTGCCAGGGTAGTGCTTTGCTCAAAACAAAATGTTTTGCAGGAGATGAAAGGCATAGCGTTCTGTTTAGCAGTCTCCTTTCTGGCTTCTCTTCATGCTGAAGATGCTAGGGGTATGATGCTTTTACCCCTGATATTTTGCTGTTTGAAGAAGCAGTATTAAAAATTGGAGCATGTTTTAATGGCTATGCTTTCATACCAAATAGAGGGACTTACAGTGACAGACAGACATGTTTTTCCTGAAAATCAAATGCTATTGCCAGGCCTAAATTCGAAATGCTACAGCTAAGTAGCTGACAAACGCTGTTCCAAGAGAGGGACTTTCTTAATCAGGCTTGTGGATTTAAGAATCTTGCATGTTAATTGCTTCTCTTACCTTATTAAATAGCCTGGCAGGGGATGCTGTCTCTAAAGGACTAAGTCTACAGTCGTGCGTCAGTTCCTTTTTTTTATTTTGTCTTGATCTGTAGAGTGCCTTATGCAAAGGGGAGCAAAAAAGTAGCCTTATAAACATGCAAGTCTGGTGGTCTTCAGCTAAACTGATTTTGTTTTATTCTTTCTTGATGTGACCTCTCTGTGTCCAAAATACACTTCACTTGCAATAAACATGGCAAAATTTGGCTACTGCTTCTGAGTATTTAACCAATACAGATACTAATCAAGGTAACCAAGTGTTCCTCCTACTTGTACTTACGGCAGAGAAAAGAGCCCTCTGCTGTGCAGAGTTATTTTTGTGCATTTTTGACATGGGCTTGAAGGCAGATGGTAAGTAACTAGGAAGAATTGCTCAGGAGGACCAGGACCTAGCCCTTTAGGACCCAATTGGATGGCCAATATTCTGTGTTATGTTTCTTGGAGGCAATAATTACACTTCTGTATTTCAAATCAAATGATGATGTGGTTTTGCGATGGAAGGGAGAAGCAAAAAAGGACTGTGTAGCCTTCAAATAGTTTATAGGTTGTGGAACCAAGGGCCTTGAACCTGAGTCTTTCCTTTTGGGTCCTGATTTCAGAAAAAGAAAAAAACACACTTTGGCAAGTTTGTTCTTTTTCCATGCAGGGTAAGGAGAAAAAACTTAGTAAGAAATGAAAGGCAAATCTATGATGAATGGATTATTAAAATTCAAACTAAATTTTATATGGAAAAACCCCACACCAACAGCAAAACATCTCTCCCGTCCACCTTCTGTTTGTTCATTAGTACTTCAATTTATGTGTGTTTATTCTCTGTTTTTATTCCACAGACTTTTAAAGAGGATAAATACTTGAAAGATGCTATGGATTGTAGCGATGTCATCTGGCAGAGAGGTTTATTGAGAAAAGGATACGGGATCTGCCACGGTACTGCTGGCAATGGCTACTCTTTCTTGTCTCTCTATAACCTAACTCAGGACAAAAAGTACCTCTACCGAGCTTGCAAGGTGAGCTTTGCAGCATCCCAGCAAAATTACTGTTCCCTTTCATGTCGTAACGTAAACTGTGGTCAGAGCAGGCACTAGAGCTGGAGCTAGCTGGAGGGGACAGCAGGGTCTTGTCACTTGCCCCCCTTTTACTCACATTTTGACAGGTCAGCAACTGTGTACGTGAGGCACGCAGGCATCTTAATGAGCAGAGTGAAACGTGCAAATGTTCTGTAAGGAGGGAGGAAGCAAACACGTGTCCAGAATTAAATACAGTCTGAAAATCAGCTTGGCTGAACAATAGCAGGCTAACGTTACGCGGTGCTAATTATTCCATTGAGACATCCGCTGCTGTGCTCAGCTCCTCAAGCAATACTGTTTGTAGTCTTTTGTAATTATTTGTTTTCAGACTAGTGTCTGTTAGAGGCTTTTAGAGCTCTGAATTGCAGTTATTAAACTACTTACTGGGATTTGGTTTTTTTTTCATTAATACACACTGAGAATTTTTCCACTGGAACTGTCCAGGTTCTGCTATCAGCCCTGACTAGGCTGGCAGTTCCCAAAGCCGAGGCTTTCACTGCCTCTGTTTTCTCATCTTTAAGGTCCCTTCCAATCCAAACCATTCTATGATTCAATTTTGTAAGACTTTAGTTTGGTTTGGATTTGGTTTGTTGTAGTGTTGGGTTTTCCTCAGCTTAATTCACTGATGTTAGGTTTCCTGCTGCATACATAACTATTTGGCTGAGGCCTTTTTACAAGTATTGCAGTGGGAAATTTGATGAATTGCTTCTTAAGTGCTTCTAGATGAGCGCTGGCCGTATGTAAAGCTATCGTAGTAGTCTCTGCTGTCAGCCTGTCATCTGTCAGCAGAGCTTTAAAAAGGTGCTGCCTGTCTCGCATTTACCAGAGCATCAAGCCATGAGGACACCTGTAGGCACCCCTGCCTTGGAGAGAACATAATAAACTCCTCACACTCCCACAGCAAACATGTGACTTTAAGTGTGGACTCGCCTGCTGCTGATGTTTGAGCTAAGGCACCAAGCAGGCGTTGCTCTCGGGCTCTCTCTGTCACCCTCTGTGCCCACCTTCTGTGACTCTGGTCAACCCTGGCAACTCCTGTTGGTGCTGCATTTCTGGCCCAAGAGAGCCCTGATGTTCTTCTGTACCAAGCTAGAGGAAAACGAGTCTTATTTCAAAGCCAAAAGAGGAAGAGGCTCAGTTACACAGCTGAAATCCTTTTGAGAAGGAAGATGACTTCATTGGAGGGGCCCGGCGTAGTCAGGCTGCGTATTTGTAGCGATTCGGCATTTTAGCATGTCCAGTGCTCAGTCAGGCCCTTTGGGCTCTTCTTGCAGGGGAAATCTTGAAACAGGCAGAGGAATTTGCTTGTCTGGGATTCTTGAAAGCCTTTCTCTTTGAGCCAGAGCATGGAGGGAAGCAAGTATGTCGGTACCTAAAGGCTCGTAACTGAGAGAACGAGAGGGCTCCCCTCCAGAGGTGAGAGGAGAGCGGGGCTGTGGTGTGCTGGGCACCAGGCAACAGAGAGCATCCAAGCCCTGAACCACTCATCGTCGTGATTAAACCACTGCTGTTGGCAAGCACGCCTGGTCTGTGGGACAAATAATGGCGGGTGTCTTCCTGCTGGAAGATACTCTTTTCCCCGCCTTGGTTTAGCAAAGGTATTAATGTGCCTTCTGTGAGTTGTGCTGAAGCTCTGAACTTGTAAAGGATGGTTGGGCTTCAGTAGCCTGGGGTGCATTTTTTAAATTTCTCTTGCAGTTCCCAGGCTGGCAGTAATAATAAAGGCTAGCGTGCAGTAAGATGTCGATGTTGCAAGAAGTGATTGTAGTTTAGAAACATGCCATAAACAGCTTCAGTCTTCACATAGAAGACAAGGTTACATGGAGAACTAAACCTCCGTTTGAAGGTTTACACCCCTGAGGGCCAAAAAATGCTTCATCAGTTCTCAGTAGCAGCGCGGAACTCAGCATTTGTTTTGGGATTTTTTGCTGGGTTTCCTCAAGACATTCACACACATGCACACACCCCTACCAAAAGAAGAAAAAATCCATCTCCCGTGGAGAGAACGGAGCAGAGGGAAGAAGGGAGGAGATGCCACTCTTCATCCTGCATTTGAACAGAAGGATGGCTGTAGGGGCGTATTCACGGCCCAGGTACCTCCAGCTCTTACAGATGGGGCACCCTCTAGTCAGTAGGATGCTCTGTTTGCGAGCAGGTTGCCCAAATTGCAGGGGGAGTGGGGAAAGACCTCTTAGTCCTTTGCTTTGTAGGAATCTTTGTGCTGTATTTCGAATAAGCAGTGGTTTGCTTCCAGGCACAGAAATGCCAGGGGAACTTGTTGGCCCCTGTGTGCACTGGGGAGCCCTAAAGGAGAACTAGATGGTTGCTATTAAATTGATCCAGATACAGTTCATAAGTCTTGCATGTCTAATGTAACTACTGCAGCAGTGTTGATTAAACACAGGAAGGACACTGTTAATTCTCTTTAATGGTTTTCCATCTTCTGCAAAAAAATATTGATGCCCATAATTGTCTAACTGCATTTGTAATGATTTTTTTTTTAAAGACGTGGGGAGAGCAAGTAATTAAAACTAAGTAATGGTAGCTGGAGATTTAATACTGTAAATTGCTGCACAGAAGTGCAAGAAAACCAAAATGCAATTAACAACCCTAAGTTCTGAGCACATGGATAAATTAAGCACCAAGAAAGGTAAGAAACTGATATTGCAGTATTAGAAAAATTTTACCCTTGAAACTGAGTACATCTCTACCTGCAGCAGTTTTCATTGACAGGCAGCAGAGTTGACTATAGAAAACAGAGGTTGAGTATAGCCCACCTAATTACACTGTTAATGAAACTGAAACTCACACTGTGGAAATACATAGGCTAAAACCTAATTGCAGCCTTGTCATGACCGAAGTGGGACAAATTGATCTCAGACAGTGATTTTTGTGTCGTGTTTCTGCTTACACTGCTTTCTGTTTAGTACCTATTAGAGATGTGCAGATACTCAAACTTGCATTTAACTTAGTCGTAAACTAAAAAAATATAATAATAAAAAATCTAATGTTTTCCCCAGTTTGCTGAATGGTGTTTGGAGTATGGTGCACATGGATGTCGAATTCCTGACCGACCTTATTCTCTCTTTGAAGGTAAAGTGATGGTGTTGCATATGGTACCGCGTTACACAGAAGGGCAACCTTGCAGTTTAGCCACGTGCATAAGAGCTGGAAAATCTTTGGTGGGTTCCTCTACCCTTAAAAATAGACCCATCTCCTACCACCAACCACTCCAGGCAGGGAGCTTGGGGAGAAAAAGACTTGCACTTTGCTCTTTTTTTTTTTTATTTATTTGTAGATTATTTTCTGTTTTGTATCTCACCCTTGTTTTCAAAACAGTGGCAAGGAATCATAGGCCTGAGTAGAATTTAAAGTAGTGCTGCTACTTCATGAACATTGAGCCTAGTGTGCCACCTAGTACAAATATGTGAAATTACAGCAGACTGAAAAGAATTATTTTACAATTAAACCAGTCCAAGGTGCGAACACAAGAGAGCAGTAGTTTTATGTGTCCCTTCTAAATAGGCTTTTCTCCCTTAAACATTATGGCAATAACTCTAAGTATTCTTATTCCTGAGAGCTCCCTTGCATGCACTTGTAGAGAGGAAGAAGTAGGCACACAATCAGTTGTATAAAAGCTTTGAAATTTGTTCAGGTGAAGTGGTGCCAGCAATAGGCTGGTTTGTGCCTTAATGCTGACATACAGCTTTTATTTTAGTTTTTTCATGTCTGATTTTTTTTTTTAAAGAAAATCTAGAGGTTTGAAATATGAAACAAAAAAAGGCTTAATTTGGGGGATGGAGGGGCTGTAGCCAAAATTGTGCGCAAAGCTATCCCATTCTGCTTGTACGTGCACACTTGCAGTGGCAGATTCACATGCATCTTACAGGGTTGTTTTAATTGTTTCATTTGTACCAGATGCTGTGGTTCAGAAAGGGTCATTTATTTGTACATGCTTAGCTGTTGATAAAATAGGATTTTAGCCTGATCGTAGACCAAGCACATACTTGCATGCTTTCCTGCTGTAGGATGCCTCTGTTGTCTGTCACCCTAGGAGTTCTATTAGGTGATGCTGTTGGTGCCTTAGACTCTGGATGACCTCTTTATGAATAGCAAACAAATGAATCTCTACACCACAAGTATAACGAAGTTTTGCCTTTGTTTTTTAACCAGTGAAACGGTGAGCAAGGGCTGTTCAAATTCTGAGGGACAGTCCAAACTGAGGGTAATTTTTCCTTAACTGAAGTAGCATTGAGGTTGTGCAGCTGAAAAGATGGGAGCAGGGAGATCTTGGTTCTTACCTTTGAGGTTTTCAAGTGAAACTTGGTTTCCTGGGCAAAGTACTGGTGAACTTGCCTTTCTACAGGCCCTAAAGTTCACCTGTTCAAAAAAAAAAAATCTAGTGAGAAGGTGTTCAAACAAGTGCTGTCGTCTTTGCTGTCAACTGTGCTGTTCTAATGTCAAGGATTCAAAGATCCCTTTCTTGTTATGTTTTAGGCATGGCTGGAGCTATTCACTTCCTCTCAGATATTTCAGTACCAGAGACTTCCCAGTTTCCAGCATTTGAACTTGGACCTCAAAGAAGGGAAAACAAAGTGGAACAGGACAGCTAAAAGATCACGTTGAACGGAAACTGATGCCAAATCAGATGAGACTGTTTAGTGCCTCTGATACTGAACCAACTCAGCCCTGAACCAATGGATGGATAAACCCCTTTTCTCACCCCCCTCTGTCTCAAAGGACCATGAAGTCATTAGAGCATGAATGGGAGAAGTCACATATGAGTTCTGCTAAAGTGAGACCTTCAGATCTAGGACAACAGAAGTCAAGTTTTGAACTTTCTCTCTTCCCTTGTGTTTGTCTTCTTCAGGTCTTTGACATGCTCTGCATGTTTATTGGTGTTGTGTGTTGATTCAAGTCTTTCATTGTTAGCAAAAAGCTGGTCTCTGTGAATCTCTGTCCTGTACACTCGTGCATGACTCACAATGACAGTGTTGCTTTCTGCAGCATGGTTACTCAGAGAGTTCCACCTTGTGCCAGAGAGTTTCGCTGCAGGACAGCGCCCAGCTTACCTGGCGAGCTGGCAGCTTTAAGAGATGGAAAATGTTTTTATGTTCATATTTTTCTGCATTTTTTTCTCAACAGGCCCTAGAAGCTAAGGTGAGGAGATGACCCCTTTTTTGATGAAGAGGTACGAGGCCACTTCTGTTTTCAGAAACTTAGCAGGTTGGAAGGGACCTGACTTATCTTCTGTAGCTGTTGTGGGAGAGTTTTTTTGAAAGCCTGAAAGAGGAGTTCCCTTTGGTACCTGCTCCTGGTTAGTTCATTAGGCACTTACAGCAGGGTTGAGGTGCTTGTCTCCACCTTTGCAACACCCGTCCTGTGGCATGAGCTTAACCTGCAGGTGGAGTTCCTGGTACTCACTACCCGCTGCCACCACCAGCAAAGCAGGGACAGCATAACTGTCCTCTTCCTCTCCTGTGTGTGGATTTGTGATAAGACTGCAGCATCTAGTATACAAGTGAGTAAGGGTAGTTTCAGGGCCGTTTCTCATGTTGGTAACTTGAGATGATTGTTGCTTCCAAACCAAGCCCTCCCTCCCTCTCTCTCTCCCCCTCCCAGTCCTACTGCGTTTAGCCCATGTAGTATGACAGAAGCGATAAATACCAGTTGCTTGTGGAGGCTGTGAAAGATTAATGAGCAATATGAAGCCATTGCTAGGGGCTGTAATTTGAAGTTTATTTCATCTTAAAATCTAAACTGAAAAAGCCCTTTGCCCTTTGTTTTAACTGTGCTACTAGTGCTTTGCTTCTAGTGGAGTGGGGTTGTGAAATATTAGACCTGCCTCCAGGTGCTCCTGAGTACCAGGCACTTGGTTTAGGAGAAGGGGGATGTACTCTCGAGTACACTTACAATAGGCTTATACATTCCAGATAGTAAGTACGCTTGCTGTTTGAGAAAGGTAAGTGTAGCACACCTGCTCAAGCTCTGTTGTCGTCCTTCGCCCAGGTCTCCCTGTGCTCTGTCAATCCCTGGGCTTATTTTAATCGATATCTTCTGTCGGGTGCGGGTGTGACAGATGGCAGAGTTTGACCTTTCGGGCGTGAATTGGGCTATAAGTGACCTGTGGGCCATCTGCTGTTTGCAGTCAGGCTCGGAGATGCATTGCTGCTCCTGCATAAATGTATGAATGGTGGCAGGTGACTTCCTTGAACTTTATAGTATCTGTTGCCGAATCCCTTGGGATGTTAATCATCTCCACATTCAGTTCTGCTGGGCAACAGTAGAAGTGCCAGTGTAGGGCCAGCTTAATGTCACACTGTAGCTCCTTTGTCAGGTAGGAATAAAACATGGGAGCAGTGGGAGAGAATTTTGCACGCCTCTGGCAAAGGGCAGAGGATGGGGTGGGGGCATCTGTACGTTCAGGGACGAGGGAATAGGCTGAAAGGCAGTGGGAGGGAGGGGTGCTGTATGGCAAGGAGCTAGGGTGAAGCAGAGCAGCAGAAAGCTGCTGATCCCTGAGGAACGGGGAAGAGCTGATGATGGGAGGCAATGCACAGGGTACCAACAGAGGCCATCTGAAATGAGATGTTCCTCTGTGGCAGGCACGCTGAGGTTCTAACTTGTGTTTCTTTCTTCAGCCTGTGGCTTGATGATTCTGACCACATATAAGCTAGGGAGGAAACTCGCCCAGGGTAAAGTCTCACAGGCTTCTAGGAAGAGATAGATGGCAGCTCTGATCCTGTTTCACATCACTCCCACCCCTTTTTTCCTTCTCCTCTGCTGAGACTGCAGAGCACGTGGGGTGGGTTAACAGAGTAAGGGGCTTGCCAGGTTTTCAGGAACTGCCTGCAAACCCAGAACAGAAGCCACCGGCCTTCCTGGCAAATCCCAAGCATGTGTTAGGGGGTCAGCAGGCAGGGTTTTCCATTCAGTGATTATATACATATAAGCCTCCTTGGCTGATGAGCTTGGAACGGCACCTGTGGGAGCCGATTTTGGCTGGCTGGAGCCTAAGGGGAATTAAAACTTGCTGGATTAATGAATATATGGGTCTATACACATTTGGAGATCTGCTCAGTAATAAGCTGCTCTTTCTAAGATGCTCAAATGCACATGTCAAAAATAATAAGCACCTCAGCTATGAGCTCCTTCTGCCCGTAGCCAGCCTTCTGCAGTGGGGCCTGGCACCATCTTTCTCTGTGGAATCTTCTTGGAATTGAGCAAGACTGGAAGCCGAATGTACCGAGTTGGAAAGCATCTGACAGTGCATTTGCCTCCTCTTCCTGATGTGACTTTCCCTGTGGCTCCTCCTTTCTGTTAGTCGCAGTGTTGTGATACTGAGGTGGCCCATTAAGAAAGGATAGTGTGTGAAGGTGAAAAAACTGCATTTCACCAAGGCGTTGTTTTCAGAAATCCCATCAAAAATGTGGAAAATGACTTAATATTTCCTAGTTTGCTTTGTCTGTGTGTAATAGTCCATCTGTTGCAAAAAGCAGTAGTGTTAAAAATGAAGATGCTCTTAGGGCAGAAAACGAGGAAAAAAATGTTGATGTTTTGTTCTTTGGCTTTATTAGTAAAGATCAAGCTATGTGGTGGTAACTTGTGTGATTTTCTTTTTTTCCCCTGTTGTATTCCTTCCTTCCCTCCAGCACTGTGGTGAGAGTTGTCAGGCTGATCTGATTGCTGAACCACCTCCTGATCTTGTAGTCCTGCAGGATGAAACACGTGCCAGGGTGGGCAAATTGCTTGTTTTTAACATTCAGGTTCACTGCTGCATCTCCCGGGTGATTTCTAGTGTACATTGCTTAGTGCAAAGCACTGCTTTCCTTTCTGGGCACATACATCCTGTTGGACAGTTTGCAGCTAATGCCCAACTCATGACTAACTGGTCTTTAAGAACACGTGTATGAAATCTCTCTGCCCAGCTGACTAACATCTGTTTTCCAGCTTTGAGAAAGCTTAATATTTTTTTTCTAGCTAGGCTTTAACAGAAGCATGCAGGCTGTGAGCAAGGGGCAGTATTTGTTTCTCAAAGCCCTCTTTGCCACTGAGAGCAACTTCTTTGAATTGATAGCATTATTGCCAGGCAGTAGGTAGAGACCTAAAATAATCTGTAAAATTCAGCTGTAGCTAGATAAATACTTTGGGGTTGTTTTTTATCCCCCCATCCCCACTGTCAGAGTAGGGGAGAGAGGTGGGAGGAAGCATGTGGTGTGCAGCATGCTGTCCCATCAGAGTGTTCTGATGCCAAAGTCTTTTTCCTGGGGAAATTGTTCACTTTTCTCCCATGTGTTTTCACTGTTTCCTGCCAAGTCACAGGTGCAGGAACCTAGTCTCTGCTATGAGTTGCACATAAGGGAGCAGTAGTGACTTGTCTTCTTCAGCCAGTGTCTTAAAACAGCTACACAAGGGCTGCTGCAAATCCAGCTGTGGCTACTAGATAAACTAGGGTTAGACATCAGGGGATAATTATATAGGCAGAGACACAGAACTGATAGATACCCCATCCTTGTGAGTTCTCTCACTACATAAAGCCAAAATGACATACTGTCAGAATGGTCCCAAAGAATGTTTATCAAGATGGTGACAGGCGCTTTGTAGAAACTGCCTTATACTAGATCTTCCCCTGCATGATGCCTCTGTAGTGGTTTCTATATCAAGGAGCACAAACAACTGTAAAAATCACAAACAACTGTACAGACAGCTCAAACCCCTAGCAATAGGGCATCAGGGGATGGGGGCCCATTAGCTCACTCAGAGCGTGGTGCTGATAACACCAATGTCGTGGGTTTGATCCCCGTTCAGTCCCCATATGTTGCCTGATCTAGTTGAGAGGCGTCCCTGCTCATGACAGGGAGGTTGGATTAAATGATCTCTTAAGTCCCTTCCAGCCTAGGCCATTCTATGATTCTATGTGTACCCATCTCCCTCCCTTCCCCCTCCTCTCTCCCCCCTCTAATCCATCTAGAGTTTTGTGGGCTTTTGATGGTTTGTTTTGTTTTGTTTTTTTTAAAGTAGGGAAGAAAGAGCACTACTTTGAGTACCACAGCCTCTGAAGAGCTTATTGAAAAAATGTAGTCCCAGCTGTTTGTTTTTACAGCAGTTGAAGCTGTCACCCACAAAACAAAACAAGAAAAAAAGCTTGTTGCTGCATTATCTTTTCCCAAAGTGATAATGGAAGCGAGAAGCAGCTGCGAGGCAGCCCCAGACAGACAGAGCAGGGTCAGTATCCTCCTTGTCAAGCTGGGTCCTAGTTGCAGCACAAGTGATGAATCAGCCTGCTAATTACTGGGAGGGCAAGCAAAGCGCTGCAGGTGTCGTTTGCCCCTCTTCTATGAGCCATAGAGCACACAGTCACCCCAGGGAGGAGGAGGTGGAGAAAACAAGCAGGAACAAAAACCTGTGAAGGAGCTTGTGCTACATCAGTGGCTTCATCCCAGCCATGCTGCCTCGCTGGGCTTTCTTGCCCAAATCTTGGCAGAGGAGTCTCAGGTGGCCTGAGCCTGGCAGCAAGTGCCAGGGCTCTGGACTTGCGGGAAGGCTGAAGAAGCAGCAGCAAAACCTGCAACGAATTTAATCCTCTCATTAATATGGAGCCTTCCCTCAATGGCTTGTGTGCCCTGGTTTGAGAATATCAGGATAAAAGTTTTCTGAGGCTGTCTGGAACCCCCATTGTTCCCACGTGAACACCCTCACATCCTCCAGGCAGTCTCAGAGAACTTTTATCCTAGTGTTCCCAAACCAGGACAGCAAGCACCTTAAAGGGAAGGCATCTTATGGAAAAAAGCTTACTTTCCTGGGGAAAAAATAAAAGCATCTCCCAGGCTCAGAGCCAGACCTTGCCTTCAGCGTGAGCCTGAAGAAGTTAGAGCTGTGTCGCCAGCGGCTGAAGCAGGAGTTTTAACATGATTGCTAAAGAAAGAGGCTTTGCAGCCCTGCGGAAGGATAAAAAAGGTGAAAAAAACACAGAACGCCAGTCCCCATTGCTGCATCTCTTCTGATGGGGAGGACCATCTTGAACGAGAGATCGCTCGCCTGCCACAGGGCTGAAAGATGTGTGGAGCAGGGTGGAGAGGCAGGGAGCAGGATGCTGAAGGAAAGTAATTCCCAAAGCCTCCTGGGATAAGCAGGACAAGGAGCATCTGTGAGGCCAGTCTCACGACTGCGGAGTCACTCTGCTTACTCCTGGCAATAGCTAGTTAGAAGATGATGGTCTTACAAGCATGTTCTTCCTCTTCTCCCCACTCAAACTACAGCAACCCACCAGCAAACCCAGGCTGATCACCAGTGCCTGTGTAACCACTCGGAGCTGCCCACTGACCAAGCATCACAATGCTAATCATCAAGTTTTCTGGCTGTGCCACTTCATGGCTTTACTGATGGAAGCTGGATCGTTGCTGTCCCTTTGCTGGTTCTGGATCACTCCCACCCCATCCCACCCCTGCTTGAGAAAGGACCTCAGGGATTTACCATTTATGTTCCTAGTTTCCCCCATGGGCTTAAACATCTTCATTCTACCCAAGCCCTGTTCAAGGCATTTAAATCCCCTCTATCCTCTGCAAAAGCCAGGAGACTGATCCCCACAACACATTAAATAAGCTTCCTGACGTAGATATTGAGATCTCAAAGGCAGGCAGGGAGTGCCCACACATCCCCAGGGCTCCCAGCCACCATCACCAACCTTACTTTGCCATTAAAACACCACCATGCCTCATTGGTGAGGCACAAAACAATAAAATAATAATAAAAAATCTCTGTTGTGTTAGAGAGACAGGACGCAGCACCCAGAGAAGCCGACATGCGACAAAGCATCAACACAAGTTCCTATTAGCAAAGCTGCAGCAGCTGGCATCTCCTAGGGCATCTCCTCACTGCTGCCAAGTAATATCCTGATGGAAGATGTTTTCCTTCACCGGTGGGACTGCTCACTGCTGGTGAGCACTAATTCTGTCCTTTCCAGTGGTGTGTCTGTAGTCTGTGTTTCACATCTGGCTTGCTGATGTGCTGTTGAGTACAAATCTCTCAGTGGCATTAGCCGTGCCTACACTCCTCTGCACACAAGAGGTCACACTCTTACTCAGTAATATAAAGAACGTTAAACATACAGGTCAGGAAAGAGCAATGAAGAGGGCTGGAATTATAGCAATATCTCATCCTACAGCAAAATGAAATTCAAAAGCTAGCCTGCACAAGTTTTAAGACCCATAGACGTCCCCAAGACTGTAGCAAGACCTAGTTCTGCTTCATTCATACATCCTCCAACCCACCTTCGCAAAACGTGCACTGTACACTCCCAATCAACTTCATATTGTTGATATCACCCTAGCAAAAGCTAGAGGGCTTCTCCCTTCTTTCTCCTCACTTTTTTTTTTAAACTAAGAGGTGAAAAAAAAATAAAAGAAAAACATGAAAACTTCCAAAAGCGAAGTAACAACAGCAAAGGCATGTAAACAGTTTGCGACTAATTCATATGGATGCCCACACAGGTGCTGCATTTTCAGTAGAACACCAAGCAAGTTTGCCAACAGAGGCATCCGTGTGCTGTAAGAGTTAATGTCATCCATCAACAATAGCAAACCAACCAGCCAGCCAGCCTACTTCATGAAAACTTCACCAGAAGTTGAATTTCAATGTACAGTGTAAGAATTCACTATACAAGGTTTCTATTCAATGTGTCCAGGAAAATCCCAGCTATCGTAGGTACATTTCATAATAGAAAAGGAATTGACAGTATCTGTCTGCTAACAAGGTCTGTCTTCATTTCTATTGACAGAAAAAGAAAGGATGGATTTGCTTTAAAAAAGTCGTTATGTATACACAACAGTATTCTTTGACATACGCAGCTTTTAACTTAAAGGACACACCAATTTAGGCACTATATATATATATATAGGTGTGGTGTGCAGATGGGCCTAGTAATCATGTTTATTTTTTTGCAGTCTTAAAAGTGCTCACACTGCATGCACAGAAGTACGTTGCTTTGTCCCTTATTATGATTCACAGTAAGGGAAAGCCCGAGTTGTTACACTTTCACCCAGATCTGCAGGAATGAGCTCCTCCAAAACTAGTTCTGCTCCAGATGACTACGAACTCCACCAGCAGCTTTTAGAAGCAGCGACCCCTGGTGGTTTTTCTGTTAGAAACTCATGTTCATAATGAAAGGGATGCTTTTTTTTTCTGCCAGGGGACTTGCAGTAACTGAGCGAGTCAGCCATGAGATGGTGACTTGGGATTCCTGGAGCTGCTCACAGCAAAATGCATGAAAAGCGGAGTCTTCGAAACATAAACCATCTGTGCAGCAGGTCAAGGAACCTCTTTTACTCACCAGTCCCCTCAAAAAAGTTACTTATTTGCCTGACCTAGAGAGGAGAGCAGTTTTACAGCTCTGTCACCTGGAGATGACAGGTCTAGCTGGTGCTCTGTGGCAGCAGTAAGACCATAATGAAAGCTACTATTTCTCAGGGACAAAACTCCCACTGATGTCAAAGGGAGCAAACCTGGAAGTGTGCTCCCATTTCTTCTTACTATAATTATTTTCCAATTTAGGGAAGAAATCTTACCTCTATATTTCAGTGTTTGTAACTGTTCTGTTGAGAGGTACAAGCAGCTCCAACATTTTCTCGCTACTAACATTTAGGTCATTGGCTATTTCATACAGTGTCTCGTTGCTGGAAGAACAAGGGAAGCCAGGATGCTGATCACACAGGCAGACTCCAGGTGCTGGCCAAGAAACACTGAAATCCCTGCCCTTTGCTTTTCCGATGCATCATTTCAAGTAACGGATCCCTCTTTTCTAGGGCATTTGGCAAAGTCCTTGCCATGACTCAACCAATGCTGGTGCTCCTGTGACAGCAGTTTGTGTCACGGAGTCTTTCTGTTGTGCTTCAAAACGTACACGAAAATCATAAAAGCAAAAGACTGCGGTCACCATTTCTGGTAAAAGTATTGCCCTGCCTCTGCCATTTCTACCCTCTCTCTGTGTCAATTCCCTTAGATGAGGGCACGAGGTGTTGGGAGACTGGCCATCACTGTGCGGTCACATAAAAACTCCTATTAGCCTGCCACAGTGTAATTGAACCCACGACTGAAACGAACAATGAATAAAGAGAAAGACATACAGGTTTTAAATATAGGTTTCCATTAAAAGCGTTACAAAGACGACGTCTCTCATCTTGAAGACAAAGAAAAAATCCACTTCTACTAAAAAAAAAAAAACAAAAAATTAAAAAATTACCCCTTTGCAAGTAACTTTAATGAGGAAAGGTGCAGGGAAGGGAGGGAGAGAGGACTCAGAGAACTAGCAAGTGTTCAAAAGGACGGATGCCCCTCCATCTTGGTCACTTTGCAATGGCACCTTCTTCTCACACAGTCAGGTCAGAGAGCCAGAGAGTCCTCACGTGGAGGATTTCACCACCTGCTCGTAAGGGGGAGGTGGCGTGTTGCAGTAGGAAGGTGGGGGTGGGTAAACCGGGTTTCCTTGCGGGGAATTGGGCTGGACGTGGAAAGCCATAGCCATGGGATTCATCACAGGTCCGCCTGGATCTGTGTAATACGGCACTCCAGGTTGTTGTGACCCTGAAAGAAAAGAAAGGAGAGAAAAGGATCAACAATGGCAGCAGCATCACGTTGTGCTCTTGACAAGTTTTCTTCAAGTGTTCATCAGAGCAAAGAAGAGAAGCCACCTTTCTCCCATCCCAGAAAAAACTTTGGCTTGCAGGATTACATTCACTTCTTGAGATTTCACTAAAACGTTTCAATTTTGCATGCAATGGAAATCATTTAGTGAAACAAAGGGCACCGTTGTCCCGAGTGACAACCATTTGAAAGGGAAAACTGCGAGCCCTGCTCCCTGCTCAGTTCCCCGGGCAGAAGAGCTGCCGTGCCTGCAGAGAAGAGAGATGTGGGATCCCAGATGGACAAAGAGGTTTCCACTGCAGCTGTGACTCAGGTGTTGAGTTTTACAAAAGGGCTTCACAGACTATTTTGTGGTATATGGGATCTGCCTGCAAGTCAGAGAACAGCTCAAATAGATAATTTCCCTTCTAGGCACGATACAGCTAAGAGTAACCGTGTACGAAGCAAAAACCCAAGTTGAAGCCCGTTCTGGCTAGCTAACACAACAGGACAAGATTGCTTTACACAGATGAAATTTAGGAAATGATGTCGGAGCCTGCAGGGACAAGGAAAGGAAATGTACGGTCAAACACAAAGTTCCTTAGCCGTGACACGTGAGGGGTAACAGAGACTGCTGCCATAAGGAGTAACAAAGGTGGCCTGTAAACCCTGCTCAGATAACACAGCGCGTGGTGGAAGATGACTTAATGCAGTTCCAGCAATTAAAGTCACAGACTGCCTCTATCTCAAGATGTAAATTAGTTTTCTTCTTTCTCTCTGTCTATTTAATAAAGTTGGGCTGGGAAAAAGAAAAAATCATGGCTGAGCAACAGGTTTTTGTCTTTTGGTGCTAGTCTGTTTTTCCTACAATGACACAGCCTCTAAGGGGTTTTCCCCTCAATCATTCTTTTCCATGACTTAGTGACAGTATTGCCACAAAAGTAATACATTAAGGCTTCCTGAACCTTTAAGGATCCTTTAGTACTTCAGGCATTCAGGAAAAAGCTACATACCAAACCCCAAAACACATTGTTACATTATTAAATCAGAAGGGTCAGTTGTAAGGCAGAGGGATAAAAAATGTTGCAGAGATTCCTGAGCAAAGAAGACAGAAAGCAGACTGGGAATACAGTTATTTCCTTTTTAACATAATAATCTTTAACACACCACCACGATAATTTTCCCTTTTGCCTGCCTGAACGAAGAGAGGTGTTCCACAGCCTCTCCTTTGCTGTGGCGATGAGAAGCCCTTGTTCTGCTTCCATCTACAGCATCAGCACGCGGCTGTGGCAGAGCCAGGCTGCGAACAGAAATCAAATCCTACATCTCCAAAAGTTGGGCTAATACCCTTTAATGTAGTCTTTTTTTTCTTTTTTTTTTTTTTTTAGTGCAGCTCACTGCAGCTTGCTCTTTAGGAAAATTACTGTTTTCATTAATACTTCCCTGTATTATTATTCAACTTTGGTGAGGAGGGAGGGGCAAGTGTGGACACCAGACTTCTGAGATATTTTTTCAGTGCATTAAACCCAACCGTAAACAACATTTGAGTCTCAACCTCCTTGTGCCATCAGCTCAATAAGTATTTAAGTGTCTGCAAAGGGACATGACCTTTTCTAGCCCCTGAACTGCCATTTTGGGGCTATGTAGGTCAGGGCTGCAAACAGCTGCTCCTAGGTGAGGCGAAACTGCATTTTGCCAGTAATGCTGGCCACAGAAAAAGCACTCCCACTTCCAGGCTGCTGCTGGGATAGCAGAAGATGCTGCCATTCTGTCTGCAGAGAAGGAGGGAGATGGGCAAGCAGCCACGTTTCAAGGGCTCCACCTCAACAGTGAACTGGCTACTAAATCTGGAAAAGGCGCTAGAGGAAAACAACTGCTAATTCCCATTGCTTATTCTGTTGAATATTCTTAGAAAACTAGAAAAAGTAAAAAGAAATCAAATTTTGGTAGAGGTGGCTCAGAGCCCACAGCTTTTAAGTAACAGTAGTAACAGTCTGGAAGTAGGTGGCATAAGCAGGTCATTGAAGAGCTTGTGCTTATTGTATATTTACCCACAATTTGCGTTCCATGAAGTGTCATAGAAAATAAAACTGCTCTAAAATTAAATCTGGTACTTGCCAATCCAGCTCCCTGTTTAAACAATCTCAATGTTATTTTTCAGGCTTAAGAATACCAGTTTAGTTAGTTTGGCTCCACCCCAACCGTCCACTGCTGAAAAAAAAAATACTCTGTGGAAATGCTTGTTCAGCCAAGCAGAAAAACAGATACAGAACAGAAGCCATAAAGAAACTCTTAGTATTTAAACACAAAGACGGTGAATAAAGTGTCGGTTTATGTCTGCAACATCTTTTAGACCATTTAAACTTGTGGGGGTGGAAATGCATGTCCATGAGTATGTGCTTAAGGATGCAAGAAAGAGCATTTCCCAAGCCTGCACGAGGCTCACGGGTGTGCCATAGCCGGCACGACAGCGGGGAGAGCCTAAATGCTGCAGCTCAACACAACGCTCACAGTCACGGCGAGCTAGAAGGGATTTAGGACTCTTTTCTAAGGAGGTTGTCTTGATGCAGCCACAGTATTGCATGGAGATGTAATGGCTCAGAAGATGATTTTTCATAAAGTTGAGACACCACACTTTCAGAGAGATCGTCCTTCTCGCTACAAAATATTCAGTTGTATTTCCACCTCGGAGCCAGTGCAAAACAAAAACACACTGACAATTCGGAAAAACAAAGTTGTCAGAAAAGATAATTATCTTCTGCCCTCAGCTCTCTCTAATACAACATTCAATGAAAATGACAACCCAGGAGGAAAAGTGTCAGTGTACCAAGTGTGTGTGTTCACGTACTTTGGCTGGCACAAATTACCACTGGCTTACGCAATCTGGAGAGCGATTAAAAATGTCTCAGTTTGGCCTTGCTGGGGCAGGGGGAAAGCAAGCACTGCAGTGTGCACTCAAATAAGTCTTCCAACTAGAGATAGCTGGGTTCAAAATGCTCCCCTAAGGCCCAAACAAATTCTGTTTACAGGTGAGTCTTATTCTGCAGGATTCTCCCAGCTCGGACTACCTAACAGCCAGAGGGGAAGAAATAACAAACTTGAGAGTAGCATTGCCAGAGGAGCTAACACAAAGTAGATCCTCCTGATGCCAACAGCCAATGCTGACCAGAGAGACGGTGATCAGACTAACAAGGGCAGAAGGGCCACTTTGGCGCAGAAAAAAACACAGCACAGAGCATGGAAGGCAAATCAAAAAGACTTGCCAGATAGCCAGATTGTGGGAGAAAAATATCAGGCTATTCTTCACCTCTGCCAGATGTTAACTGTATTTAAAACTCCTTCTTCATGTCACTTTTCATTTTGGATACCCATCATTTTGTCTACACTGCAAAGGGAGAGCTTGCTGGCCTCCTTCCACACATGGACACACAGTTGTAAGGGTATTAGGAATCACAACAGAAGGGGAATAAAGTCCTGCCTTCCTGGGTTTCAAAAACATTTCTGTACATTGCAGCTGGATTATGCTGTTTGAAAGGCAGAAGACTTCACTCATGCCGGGAGGTGGCTGCATGGTTTAGTCCGGTGCAATCCCTTGACCAAATCCCGCAGTTTCAAAAAAACAAGCATACAAACAAAATCCCCAAACCCACTCTTTTTTAATTGTCTTGGTGAATGTTAAGAAATTAGTGAAACTTGTTTAATGAGTCGTCTCTGACCTGATGAAGTGTTGACTGGTTGTCTGGTGTAAGACACGTTAAAAGTAGGTTCTTCTACTAGTGGAGGTGGGTACATCCGTCTTCGGATAAAGAAACCAGCTCCGCAACAGAACAAAACTCCCATCATCAGAAGGAACCTAAGCAAAGAGAAAGGGCGAGTCAAAACGTACTCCCATCCTTGCAGCTCATAAACCCAGACTATTTGTTGAGAGAAACAAGACTATCATCCAGCAATCATCAGCCTACAACTTCTACTAGGGGGCCGGTTAGCTCAGTGGTTTGAGCGTGGTGCTGACAACAATGACAACACTGAGGTCGCAGGTTCGATTCCTACTCAGTCCCCATGTGTTGCCTGTCTAGTTGAGGGGTGGTGTCCCTGCCCATGACAGGGAGGTTGGACTAGATGATCTCTAAGGTCCCTTCCAGCCCATGCCATTCTATGATTCTGTGATGATTAGGGTGTCACCTGAGTGCAGGTCCATGTCATTTGAGACAGCACTCATGGGACACTCATGGATATATTATGGACATCTTTAGCAATTTCTGCTATTGTCCAGTGTTTTCTAGCACGTAAAATACAAGCCTGAAACTAAAATGCCTTTGAACTTTTGGAAAGTTCAGGTTCATACCTGACCTTTGCCACTGGGATGCTGGACTGCAATTTCAGGTCGGTACAGTTTCAAACTGCGTATGTTGGACACAAGCCTTGTGCTTACAGCATCGAGGCTGGCCAGGAGGTTTGTGAGGGACAAAGAGGAATATTGTTCTGTGGTTGCCCTTAAAAGAAGATTCCTAGATGTTCTTAAATTACTCAACACTGTGATTTTGTCTCCCATGGGAAATATGGTGGCTGGCATTTACATTCAAGCCAGAAGGCTGAAGCATTCCACACTGAAGCTGACAATCTTTGCTTTATGCTTCCTGGATGGGATATACTTTCTCAAGGAAAAGGACATAATTTCGCTTCAGTTCTCCCCTCACCTCCTTTTCCGACCTAAACTCTCCTCATCATTCCCTTGTCCCGGTGCTGTAGAAACAGGCACACGCATCAAGGGCATCTCAGAAGATTTTGTTTCCTTGATTAGTTACCAAGCATGCCAGTGAGGGATGCAAGCTCCCGTAAATCCAAATGGTTCTTCTGCCTGTAATTGCCACCTCATTTCACTTTACTGGAAGACAATAACAACCGTGAGAGGCCACCAAAGCTGGCCAGAGGCAAGCCTACACACCGTGCTTATCTCCTCTGGAGCATTCCCAAGTGTTTGAAAGGAAGGCTGTGACAATGCATGGCAGCCAGAGGCATTTCATGCAAAGGGTCAAATTCTGTTCTTGTTTCTATGGTGGAAATGAGAGCAAAAGGAAGTCCTGTTTCCCTGAGCCAATATTAATACATTCCATTTTGGCAGGGTTCCTGCAAAGGATTTGTTCCGAACAGAAAAACAGAGATTTACGACGTCACCCCAGGGATTGAGATGCAGAGTTCTTCAGTTGTATCAGTAAGGATTGTACACAGAAATCCCACAGTCAGCTTTGGGAAATCTCTGCATTATAACAGATTTATAAGGCTTCTGTTTTCTATTGTTTATTTGTTTCAATTTTGAAGGATTTTTTATTAAGCAGTCTTCAAATTCTACACAAAAATGCCTGAAATCAGGTTTTCTAGAAGAGCTTTTGCTTTCTCTACTTAACGAGAAGGTTTTGTTCAGGTGCTTTCTTAAATTCCTCTCCAAAATGAATTTACCTTATTTTTGCATTATGCATATAACAGTGATTAGTTTAAGCTTTATCCAGATTACTGAGCTGCTGGTTTCACAAGCTCAAATCTTTCTGCCTTCTTTTCCCTTGCTGTCATCTCCAGCAAAATCCTCATAGTCATAAATGTATTTGTCTTCCTTTTTAATTGAAGTCTGAATTCAGCTGGCAAGAATATCTTGAACCTTGCCTAAATGTACAATCCTCCTTATACAATCCTCTTTTAAAACTGAGTGCCCAACAAAAATGCACAAACTCTGCTGCTTGGTAGTAGGTGGGACAGGTGGAAGGAATTCAGTAATTTTGCATAAAAGTGGGACCATTGTCTGTACAGAGTAGCAGGTCACAGAAACAGGAAAGGTCAACCTGGCATGCATGAGTAACCTCTTTTTTCAGTGTTTTCTCACTACATTGGGAGAATTTCATAGGCAAAAAACCGAAAGTCCTTGCATTTATTTGTACACATATACATTACTGTATACTTGTACCCACTTTACTTTAAAATATTAGGGCCAGCAATATCCTGATTTAAGTCTTACAAACAAGAGAAGAACAGGACAAATACAAAATTCCCAAATGCCCTTGACCTACCAAAAATACCATAGTCGTTGGATAGAAAGAGCTCTTACACAGCATCTTGAACCACAGCAGTCCTCATAGGAGCGACATCTGCAGAGAAATAGAGAGAAAAGGGTGTTACGGGAGTAGTTGTCACTCAGATTAAAATGGCATTCCCAACTCTGACGCCATTCGCGCCCCTGCCCAAGGCGGTACTTACGACATCGCCACGAGATGGCAAAGCCTCCGGGAATTGTTCAAGGTCAGGCTGGGTGGGGCTCTGAGCAACCTGATCCACAGAAAGATGTGCCTGCCCATGGCAGGAGGGTTGGAACTAGATAATTGCTGAAGGACCTTTCCAATCCAAACCAGTCTGTGGGTCTATGCATAACAACGGGCTACCCTTGGGCAGATAAGGTTTTCAACCACATGCACACATCCACGGCTCAGCCCTATCACTACTGAGAATCTTTTTGTACGTTACTGAAAGTACCTTCCTACAGGCTTCTTTTACAGCCACCTCAAAAAGACTGAATATAGTGTTTAATTCTATATAAAAGGACAAATTATAAAGAAAATTAATATTACTGCACTTTCTTTCACAGTAAATGAACACTGCAGACCTCAAACATGAGCCATTTGGGGTTTTACTCACTGTAACAGAGAAGAATTGCAAGGTCAAAACTGCCAAATTGCCCCTTCTTTGCATATCAGCAGCTTCCAAACAGAAATCATCAAGTGCAGAGAAAACTTCTTGTGTACCGTTATTTGCAAATTTAATGGTGTTTCTTCCTTTTCAGAAGTCACACAGGACTGCTACTGCCAACCACCCCATTATTTAATTAGGCTTCCCTCTAAAAAAACCCCACATTTCAGAGTAACATTTCATGCGGAATAGAACTATTTTAAAGGCATCGTAGCACCAACCACTGTAAGCAGAAGGCACCACTTCACTAAAAGCCATCGCACACATTAACAGCAACCTCTGAACAATTTCTGTAGTATCCCCATATCAACGAGACATATTTAATGGGAAAAAGAACAGAGCTAACACAGAAACTATGGTATGTGACAGACTTGGATGAAAACATTCAGATTATCATATGCATATACCTAAAGAAATGAGGAGGTTACCACAACAGTCTTTCAACAATCTTTTTTAACGGTGTTCACATTTGTATGCTCAATGAACATATTTAATTAAGCATCTGGTTGGGGGAAATTTGCCCAACCGCAGCACTGTGCTCCCATATTTGTATGTAAAGCTAAAAACTGAACAGACGATTACACATTTAGATGCTCAATTAACAAGCCTTCGCTCACAAAATACATGAAGTCACATCGGCTTCAGCTTCTAATTGGGGCCAGAGGAGGATGCTCTGTGGACGTGCAGTTGCTTTGCAAGTGAAAACAGTTACATGTTCTTCCGATGACAAGTAGGCAGCATTTATTTGAGCAAGCCAGAGGATCTGACATCGTCAGCACTGCAAGGTCCACACTTGGGCACCCAGAGATTCAATCAGATTAAGTTGCTCATTCCAGAAGACACACTTTGTCGTCCCTGAACCTGAAAGCAACCCCTCTCCAACCCTTCTTCTTCAAAGCTTGCCAGGACCCAAACAACTGCTCATACTCAGAGCTACCAGAGCTCACAAAACTACTAACATGACTTAGCAAGCCAGCATTAACTTCATTCCCATCAGGACCAAGAACTTAAGCACTCCTCCATGCTCCCCAAGAGGATCAACCCAACAGGAGCTTTCAAGATACATGTTAAATGCATGGACAGGATCAGGCCCCTTATGAAATGGGCCTTCTATTAAACCAGTGGTCATGGTATCCCTTTCGCTCTGCAACACGTTTTTGGTTGAGGCACCTCATTCATGTTGATGGGCACTTGCCCCTTTTGCTGATGCTGCACAGCAAGGACTTTGTTGGGCCAGAAGAACAAAGAGGAAACAGAAAATCAAGAAGCCCTTCTTGAGACAAGGCTAAAAAAAAAAGAAGGATTTTAGCGATGTGAGCAGTCTTTATGTCTGTCCCCACAGGCTGGCTCTGTCAGCCCAGTCACCTACACCTGACCACAGGCCACACAGGCCCTCTGGCCCCAAAATAATTTCCCAGATCAAGACCCAAGACCTAAACTTCTATTAAAAGCTAAAGTAAAATTGAGAGCCCAGGGAGGCTGCACGTACACCTCCCCTGTGCCCGCTCTTGCCTTGCTTATTTTACACCTGTTTTCTACAGAGCCAAAGAGATGGAAATAAGGATATTTTAAAATATGTAACTATGGTCATTCAAACCACTAAAATTAAAAGAGCATCTGTATGAGGAGTACACTACCTGAATTTACTTTTTATTTTTAATCTTTAAATTGTCTAGGCTGCAAGTAAGCATCATTTTTAAAGTCTCGGTGGCTTAGCTTTTCTTTCTGCAAAGGAGGGCTACTGTACCAGCAGAAAGGCTCAACTGCTGGATGTTTATGAAGCTCCTGAGACCACGGGATGGCAAACAGACCAACAAAGAGAAGTTGTCTCCTACACAGATGACTGCATTTTCAAATGGCTGAAAACGATGATGCAGAGAATGGAGGGGCCTCTCATGATTGCTGTGTTTAGAGAAGGTCCATTTGCTAATGGCCAGTAAACTTTCGGAGGCAATGCATCCAAGGCTAAGCACGGCACTTGCCAGGTGGATCTGTGAAGATAAACCAGTATCATGGGGAAATCCCTTTGAGATCTGACAGAGTAAGCCTTTCCCTTCTTACTCATAAAACCAAATGGGCACTTTATTTTGCATGTCTGCGAGTATGGACACATGTACCCATATGTAGGACCCTGGAATCATGTATGATGGTGTGATAACAACTTGCTCTTTGTATTGCCCACCATTTGATAGCAGTGCCAAAATGACTGGAAAAACAATTTGCCCCTTTGCTGATACTGCCATCAGGGTACCACAGCAGCTCTGCTGATCTCTTCTTCTTGATTCAATGTGCTATGGAAAAACAACACGACTTCTGATAGCATTTATCCTAATTACAAGAAAATTAACTTACAAAAGTCAAATTTATTAACAGGCAAAAGACAACAATAAAATCAGCTTATTAAGGAAGTAACATACAAGCTTAAGTATAATCAGTCTTTGATGTATTCTCTCTTACTGCCTGGCAGCAAATCCCAGGAGAATTAAGAACCGGGTTCATAAAAATACAATTAAGCACACATGCATTTATTTCTTGAATTGGTATGGATATTCTTTAAATTACACTCATGCTTTGGCTCTGTTTTACAGAGAAGGACTAGTTGTGCCCAATGGCAGTTGAAGAAGAATGAGCCTTACTACAGAGTTGAACTGGATCCAGCCCATCTCCTAGAGAAGACTTTTCTAAATTCAATTTCTCCTTGACATATTCACGATGAGCCTGAGAACTGCATTCCCCCAGGGCAATGCCTGTTTCAGTGATCAAAATTTATCCCATTAGATAGGATAAAGTATGATCCATTAGTTGCTTTGCCAATCTGCAACTTCATCAAGCATACGGTCTCTCTTTTGAAAACTGTGTGCAATGCAATGTATGATTTAGAAGGTACCTCTTTCCATTCATAATTCAGTAGAATAAAACGAATGCATCTGTATGTCCAACGACTTGTACTGCTGGCACACCAAGGAACTGCTGCGTCAGAGACCCAAGTTACACTGCACATCTGATCACAGCGACAAGCTTTTTATGTGGGTTCGCACTTAAATCATGATGCTGAATTACCTTCCTTAACGGACAAACAAAGCACAAAGTTTCATGTAAGGGTATACGGCATGAGCCAAACCCCACAAATAAGCCAGAGGAAGCGAAGGAAGTCCCATCTGTGGTCCTAATACCAGCATGGGCAAAAGACCAGAAGGAGGACCACAAGTGCTCACAAGAAGTGGAAGGGATGGGGTGCTGAGCAGTGACCCCTCCAGGCAGACTTAGCGCCGAGCCCTCAAAATCAGAAGGCTCGGGTCTGCTACCACTGAGCAGCTTAAGGCAGACAGCTGAAGCATGCATATGTATCTACTTGTTCTAGGACAAAAAAAAATAATTGAAAGAAGAAAAGATTTGATCTTGGAATTCAGCTGCCAGGATAAAGCAATGCTAAACAGAGAACAATCAAATCAGCCATGAAACAAAAAGAAAAACAAAGCAGGCAACCACCACAAAATGACTAGCAGAACCAGTTCTGATAAAGCTCAGGGTCTTGGCTGTGCTATCAATAAGAAGAAATGCCACTGAGCCCAACAGGACTACCCTGCCAAAGGACAAGGAATGAGGAAGGGGATCAACAGAAGATGTACCACATAATTGAAAGAGGGGAAACTATTTTTCTACCAAATTTACTTCACGATTGATTAATTAATTTCAGACCATTCCGTACATGCATTTCCATCTTTCAGTAAAAAGCAGTTTTCAAAGCAAAGTCATTGCCTGTACAGCTATGTTAAGAAAAGATCCAAGTTATTGACTGCATACACAGGGAAGACCACGGGACATAAGTAGGAGCGCAATGCTACAAGCACGGTGGAGAGGTTATCCCAAGGAATCCATTTTGCTACAGCCACCCACTGAACACAGAAAGGGAAACACAGAGTCCACTTCTGTACTCAGGAGTCCAACCACAGTCCCAAAGCAGTTTAATCTCTCTCCAGAAAGATGCTGCGGCACAAAAGTCACATCCCTCCATCAGCATTCACTTAACCGCTTGAGGAGCAGTAACCCAGGCAAGGTCTTTGGCTGGTGGAGCAGCCTGATAGGCAACATCAGCTTTCCAGCCTTGGCCTTTAAAGCTCATTGTGTCTCCTGGGCATGTTTGCATACATAGGGTAATTTTCAGCAGGGACAACTCCACAACAGTTACCTGCAGTCACAGGTTCTCAGCACCCAAAAGTGCTCTTCTTCTCTCTTTTTCTCTCCTCGTACATAACAGAAGTGATCTGATCTCTCAGCACATGCAAGAACAATGCCTTGTTAAATATAGGTTTCATTTTGGTGAATATATAACTACATATATAACAAATGTGACTGCTTCATAGATGGACACAGCGGTGACCTCAGTGGAACATCTGTACTTGAG